CTAGGAATAGCTCAGATTCGGAGCCAGGTAATAGTGTTCGGACCGAACTGCCAGCGGCTGTTTGGCTGGTGGCAGTTGCCGGGCGCCGCGGCCTCTCTCGAACCCTTGATCTGATTGACCGCAAAAGTGAAGAATTGGAAGGGAAATTGGAACCTTCTTTAAGACAGACCGGTGCAGAACGTGCTTTGACACCCCATGCAAGAGCTTCAGCGATTGCAGTGGTCAAAGTGAGAATAGTTGGTCTTAATTGGCTCTGTTTAAGGGGATCGCAAGTTCAACGGAATATGAATACTAGTAGAGTCAGACTAAACAGATGCTACAACAAATTTGAGCTCGTACCTCTTTGTTGTAGAGTACCAAGATGATCATCACAGGCTTTCTGGACGCCAGGGAGTTTTCAGGCAGAGCAATCAAGGGGGCACCGGCATTTAAACCGGCGACTAAGGGCTGGTCAGTTAGTCCGGCCGCCAGGCCGGAAAAAAAAAATTTGACCACCCAAACTATGAGGAGAAATGGGCTCCTGCACTTGTTTTAATGCACTTTCAGGCAGTCAGAAGCCGTAATCTTGGTGTTCATTCGTTTTGGCGTAATACATCCGTATATGGTATGTGTTGTGGTCTTGTTTGGCACAAGCTTCTGCATATTCTTAAACATCCTGATCAGTCGAATATGACCTCTGGTGACAAATAGCACATTACAGGCCCCATTTTCCTTGTTTCTGGTAGGATGCAGAAGTCTGGCAACTTAAACACATGAGAAATTGCCATATATGGAGCGTGGGAACCGTTACGTTAGTTAGTTAGTCCAACGGTTGGGTCTGAAAAAATAAAATCGGCCCTATATCTTTTTTTTGAATGCCGGTGCCCCCTTGAGAGCAATCGCGGGATGTCGACATCGATAAGCTTGTTGATAAGTCTCCATTGATGGTCCTGGCACTGTAGGAGGTAATAGGCGCGGAGGACGGCTTCGTTCGGGAACCTCGTGTTGTTAGAGGAGGTATCCATGACTCGGGAGCAAAAGATAGCCATCAAGTAAAACCACAAGGAAGGTTCAGATTATACACGTGACTAAACGCGACATCCAATTGAGACAAACAGGGATACACAGTGATACTCCATCTCTTGATGACGCGAATCTGCGTCATTCATTTGCCAACTCCTGCAGTCGTCATAAATTTCTGGAGCTGGTATGCCTTTTTAAATGGGACTGGACTCATGTTCGATCTAAACCTTTCTTGCACCTACCCTCGAAGACTCTCTCCTACCTTTTGTGTTTTCCTTAAAATCAAACATATCATCATGTCGACAACCACCACAATTATCTCAGTCATCGCCGGCTTTGTCGGCCTGCTGGCTGCGTATATCTACTTCTTCGGAATCCCACCCGCAATCAAGCGTGAGCTGGAAGAGAGGGCTTCAAAAACCATGGGAGAGAACAAGGCTTCCTACCTTGTCAAGGGTATGCCGCATATCGCGTGACGGAGACACCGAGAAACTTACCACCGAATTTTAGACCAGATTAGCAAACACTCCGGAAAATCCGAAGTTTTGGGGGCCCCGATAACGTTCCCGAAACCTTTGGTTTCTGGCGTACAGAAACTGTTCCCGAAACCTTTGGTTTCAGGAGCACAGAAACCGTTCCCGAATCAAAAGGTTTCGGGAACTGCAGAAACTGTTCCCGAAACAAAAGGTTTCAGGAACGGTTTCGGTGGGCGGGCCGTCCCGGACCGTCGGTCCGCCTCCCGAAACCTTTTGTTTCGGGAACAGTTTCTGCAGTTCCCGAAACCTTTTGTTTCGGGAACGGTTTCTGTGCTCCTGAAACCAAAGGTTTCGGGAATAGTTTTGGAGCAGATATTCTGTTCCTAAAACCTTAGGTTTCAGAAACATTATCGAGGCTCCCGAAACTGCGGATTTTCCGGAGTGAAAGTACCCGCGAGCGACCAGAAAGATATCAAGGAGTTCAAACAGGGTCTTGGCAACCTCGCGGGCGGCGGGCTTCAGAACCCACTCGGAAAACAAGCAGGAGATGCCGCAGACAGCATGACCAGCCCTTTCACCGGCCGCTGAGCACGAGAGCTCGTTCCGTTCCATATATGTTCTCGGAAGTTGAATTTAATCGATGCTCTATACTATATGAATGTAAAGCTAGCAATATTCATGTAATAATAGGATTCCCTGGACAGTCTCATGTAAAAGAAAGCCGCAATCGTCCAACATTGAAGCAGATGGATAATCTGCGAGGCAAGTACAATACGGGTAGAGAAAAAATAATTACGTTGGAAATTGCAGTCCAAATGACATTCAGTCTTCCGACCCTCTCTTTTCTACAGTTACATCGACACGTTCGGGTATGGCGCCCGTTATTCGGGGTCAACGGACGACGGTCTGATTGCAACGAACCGCCCACCCCATTCGAACCACTCCCCCCGTCCTAAATGTTGGTTCAGCGCGTCCATGGGCATGCGAGAAATATAGTTACTGACCACGGCCTTCGAGATCTTTGCTCGGCTTTTCCCCGCGTTGTACTGCTCCCGTCAGCACGCTGCGAAAACGAGCGCAGATAAAAACCCACCTCAAAGGGTGGCGCCAAAACACTATCTTGCTCGGGTCGGGAGACGGTCGGGAACGTGGAGCTTTCCAGCTTTCAGCAGTCGCGGTAAGTGTATTATGAATAGACCTGTTGGAGGGACGATTCGCATACCTCTTTGAGGATGAAATCTTCCGCTCCCGCCAAAGAGAAAGAGGATCGGAAAGCCCCTGGGGAAATGGCAAACATCTAGATGCGATAGCGATATAAATCATTGGCGTACTCCAGAAGAGCATTTGAGAGAAGGGCGGATACGTACCGGGACGTCCGGCGACTTCACCGCGCCATCGGGAGACTCGTTCTAGCAATCTAGTCAGAATATTCTCAACTGCAAAATAACGATTTAACCCACCACAAGGACCGAGTCGAGCCAGTTTTGTGCTTGGATCTCACTCATTGGACTCCCTCTGAAAGAATATGGGTCTACCGGGGGGGGATCGGGGTGTTTCTCATCGAGCTGTGTTACGTTAAGGTTTCGTTAAATTGCTATGAATTAAACGAAAGCCGTACCAGCTCACGCAGATCGGACGCAATATGCTCTCCGGCTAAAGGAACGAAAATAGTCGGGAAGATAGCTGGAACCGAGGCATAATTGTCGTCCTATTTTCCTCCGATTAAATGCATTCTGCGCGATAAGATGCATATGCGAGCGTACCGCGAACCGGATAGATTGCGGCGAAGTAAAGTCAGAATCATGAACGGAATCGTCGACTAACTCCCTGCGATTCGCATCGGTGGGCGACTGAAAGAACGCTTGAATATAGTATTGTTCAAATACGAAGGGATTTGTACTTACCGCTTGAAAAGGAGCTGGATTTTTCTGGACGTTTCGAACGTTGATGATAAATTGCAAGTCTACTTGCGTTGTTAAAAAGGTGGCCAGTGGCAGGATTGAATTAAGGAGCAGACCTGCGGGCAACCGCTTCGCCCTTTGGGTCGCCTCGGTCCTTGTTGTTTTTTTGATGGTTTTGGGCTTATCTCTTTGACTTGGAGCATTACTGAAAAGATGTTTAGAGAGGCCTCATACTATCGTACAATGAAACGCACAAGGCCAGATACGCATCTCCTGCTGCTTGGAGAAGAGGTCGGAAGATTGGACGTAGTTTCCCCGTTACGGCGGCAGTATCGCGCTTCGCTAGCACCCATAGCATGCCGACGTGCTCGCAGAATCCAATATCAACACGGGTGCCAGTAGTGGTGTCATTGAGTAGACGTTGGTCAATCTTCGTCATCAAAGCCATCAAGACCTCGCGACACTGAACCACATTTTGAACCGCCTAGCAATTTTTTTTAGTCAGTGATACTTTGCGACTCGTCGCGTAACTAATTAGTAACTCCTACCTTAGAAAAGCCTTCTGGTTTGCCAACGAGGTCGTCCACCAGCATGAGAAAAATTGACTGTTGCAACGTCGCCAAGCCCATCTGATAATAGACCTCCCGGTCCAGGGCGGCCTGTGCTTGAAATTCGTCGTCCGCATCCGATTCTTCTGTGAAACACGGGGGCCACTCCGACTCATACACAACTGGCAAGGGCGGGGGTCTGTAAGTTGGGCGAGATATCGTTTCAATCACGGCTTTGCGAACAAAGTCGTTCGACTTGGTGGCTTTTGTGGCTTTTGGGGGCATTGGGCGCTGGGCGGGAAGGGAGTCGCGACTCCCGAGTCGTGTTGGTTAAGGTGGGAGGAGTGTGATTGACATGGCACCGCCACTGACGCGTCAACGCGTCTTCTCCGTCTTCTCCTACTCCTTGGGGATCAATTGATTAGAAGCTTGATTAGATTCCGTCTTGGCGTCGCAGCGAAATCAGTCGCTGCAATAATCGTACTAAAAAGGTTCTGTAAGTACCTTGACTGGATCTTGGTCTGATGTAATTGCGGTTGCTTCGCAGACATCAACTTGGTAGCAGATTACTGGGCTCGACGGGGCAGATAGCTAATTAAACATGGTTTCTTCTGTGTCCGCTATAGCCTAGTGGTAAATTCTCCTGCTTGCTCGATTTTCGGGTGGCGGTTGGTGGGGGTTCGAATCCCCCTAGTGGCACAATAAGGTTGCCGGGCCCCGGGCCATTGCCCCGCGCTCGCGAGAAACACATTACGCATTCTCCCTGTGCAATTGTTGTGTTTCACACCCTGGGCATTCTATTTTTTTCCCTTTCCATTTTCTTGTCTCAGCACCAGAAGGTAGTTAGTTATCCTGAGCTGTGCCCACATTTTAGAGTAATTGTATATTTCTCCAGAACCTTGTTTCTCCGACAGGATTTTCACTTCACTAAACCTCCGTCAACCGTCTTCTCCTTTATATTATACCTGAGGTTGCCGTGGTGTCCAGTACCATACTTGAGCAATCATGGGCAAATTATGCCGTCAGACCCATCGTTGGGGATATGAGGGCCAAACGAAGGCATTTATTCTGTGCCCACTATAGCCCAGTGGTAAAATCTCCCGCATGCTCGTATTTTCGGGCGGCGGTCGGTGGGGGTTCGAATCCCCCTAGTGGCACAATAAGGTTACCGCGCCCCGGGCCATGGCCCCGCGCGCGCGAGAAACACATTACGCATTCTACCTGTGCAATTGTTGTGTTTCACACCCTGGGCGTTCTATTTTTTTTTGTCTCTTCATTTCATCATAGTCGGGAGAACGGTAGAGGTAGTCTATGGGAATCTATCGTTGATTAATCTTGAACAATGAACTACGGTCGCACCAGTCCATAAGTATATCCCAAGTGTAACAAGGGAAGTATTTGATATTTATTGACACAGGAGAGCGGCGAGCTACATACCGACGGCCTCGGAGCCCTTGAGGTCTCGCTGAATTGGAGCTCCAGTGGGCCCATTCTTTGGCTGGTCACCTACATACAATGGGTCGTTTCGAACTACGACCCGCTTCACGACACAGTGGTCAAGCTGGATATGTCGTTGACAGAGCAGCCCAATGAATATCACATATCCTTTGAATGCGAGGCGAAGTTCTTCCAAGCTTAATTAAGGCTCAGCGACTGAACCGGGTGGCAATACTCGGCTGAACGACTCGAATGTAACTCGAATTGATTGATGTACAAGAAAAGCAAGGTAACATCGCTATTGACCACTTTTGATTGTAACTTCAAGTCCAAGTCGTCAAAGGCAAAGTGAGAACATTATTATTGAGGGGATCCCAGTGCTGGTTGCGCGATTGAGGCCGTAAAGCCGCTGTTCTTCGAACTAATCTTAGCGCCATTCTCAAAGGGTACCTGGGAATTCGTAGCTGAACGACTTGAATCAGTTAACGCTGGAGACATGGGCAAAACAACAACATTTTTTTACACAGATGCTCGACGCAAAAGTACCGCAATGTGGTCCTTTTCAAGCGACCTTGACCACGACCTTCTCCCCACTGACCTTGTTGTTTCTCAGCAGCTCTAATCCCGTCGCGACACGCTCCTTGAACATGCCTTGATCCAGCAGACGAACCCGATTCGGCTGGATGATCCCAGACGCGAGCAACTGTGGAAGTATCTTTGGCATCAGGTTATCTTTCAAATATTCGTTCTAAGAAAAATACGTTAGCGACGTTTCTGCAAACCGAAAACATTGGACACACCCCGCGATACATGAACGTCCGCACATAAGCTATCTTAGTCTCTTTCGGGAACGGGTTCCGCTCGTTCGGGATCGCGTCGAGCATCCCCGCGTCCCCAACGGCGACGTTGTCCCCGACCTTGACTGGCAGCAGCAACGCAACGGCACCATCGGGGCGCAGCACCTGCGCGATCTTCGCTATCGTGCCATCCGCAGTGATAGAGTCAAGTGCGAGCGCGACCTTGCCGTCGCCGCCCACGGCGCGCGCGATGTCCGCCGCGAGGGTCGGGCTGCTGTAGTCGAAGACGTGCGTCGCGCCGAGGGTGCGCAGGAATCCGTGGTGCTTCGCAGACGCGGTGGCGACGATATTGGTGTAGCCTGCGGCGTGAAGCAGCTGGATGGCGTACTGGCCTGTGGTCGAGCCGGCCCCGTATACCAAGATTGGGGTATCATGATTCGAAGGAGGACTCGTTGCGGGGAAGCTCGGGGGTATGGGCAGAGAGAGCTGGTCGAAAAGGGTGTAGAAGGCTGTGATAAAGTTGTCTGGAATCGTAGCGGCTGCATCGAGCGCGAGGCTGTCTGGAACCTAATAAGATAACAATTAGCCAGGTCAGACTAACCTGTCCCATGCATCCCATCCGCACCTTTGCGCAAAGGTGGTCGGGAAGTACGACGAACTCTTGCATCGTCCCTTGTAGACCATCCTTGCGGCCCTGGCCAAACACGCTGAAAGCCGTAACCTGAAAATGAAAAAGTCAAGGCAGGTCATACACGCTCAAGAGAAATTTGCGTACCCGATCCCCAACCGCGAGCGAAGTTCCCTCTCCAACCTCCACCACAATCCCAGCCGCATTGAACCCCAACGTAATGGGATACTCGGCGACGGCGTACCCCAGATCTGTGATATACGTGTCGAACGCAATCATCGACGCGTACGCTACTTTAATGAGGACTTCCCCAGTGGATGGCTTCGGCGTCTCAACCTGGATAGCATCAAATTGTCCCTTGGCAAGGGCTGCAATGGCGGCGTGCGTCGGCATCGGAAGGGTTGGTTTGCCACAAATCGACTTTAGAATGGGACTCCAAGAAGTCCTCCGATTCGAGTAGACGGTCCACCACGGTTGAATTGTTTTAAATCCTGTTTCTTTTTGAGAAAACCTCGCTTACTCAGGATGAGTAAGATCGCTTCATCATGATATTATTAAGTACTCTTGCGGTTAAATGGCGAGGAAGTGACACCTCCACGCTTCCGTTTATCCGAGTCCTGAGTTTGTCAGACGCAACTTTGGCTTTAGTAACCAGCCAGAGCTCGAAGAGGCTTGAGTGCCGGCGCCTCAACCATGCTTTGGGAAAGCTCGAGTGCAGACGGCGTGTTCTACAGCAAGCAAGTTGTAATACTGAGTTCGTGGACATTGATATTGAGCGGCGGTTTGGGTGGTGGCAGGAATAAACCCGGGCCGGGGCTGGTTACTAATTACTGGATTAGTAATAAACCTGAGATCTCAACCTTTTGGATCAAACCAACGCCAATGTAGCAAGCTGGGAGGCTATTTGAGGCTATCGGGTCTTGGCAGCCGCGAGAATTTCACAGTGATCACGGCGACTTGTGCATCCCCGCATTGGGTTAGATTGGGGGCGATTTACGTGGATTTACGTCGCCAGTGTCGGAAGATCCTACTTGATCCCAACGACCACTGAAAAAATGGTGAGTGCTCTCGATGCGATCCTAGAAATCTCCCTCATCCTGGCAGGCTTTCGGACAGGGTCTGAGCGACTTCCCTCCGGAACTCTTGGCGAAGATATTTCTCCACCTCTCGTACAAATCCTTACTCTGTGTGCTTGCTGTCTCCGTTCAGTGGAACGCGATCGTCTCGAAGGATCCTGCCCTCAGCGTGCAGATGTTCAAGAGGCTGAGCACGGTGTATGTTGAAACCGGTGAGCAACCATTTGCTGGCTGCGATTACTCTCACTGATGGAAACAAGGCTGCAACGAGCCTTCTTTCCGAGTCTCACCCGAATGCTACGCAGCGGCATCCGAATCCGTCAGGGCAAGAAAACCATGTGCTTTTACATGTCCATGGCTTACAGTAATAAACCGTTCCAGATCCATCCCGCGCTAAATGAGGCTTCGTATGTTATGGGCGAACGCGTAGAAAGTGTTTATTTCTTTAAAATGAGCAGCCAGCCTCAACTCGTCGCGCTGGCGATCGCCAACGATTTTATCTCCATTCCTGTGGTTACAATGGCGAAACTCGTAATCCCCAACCGGATCGTCTATCCCAACGGTTTCAAAATCAAAGTCACAAACAGCAAGGGTGTCAGGGTAAGCGATGTTTTTGCCGCGATGAACAAGGAGTGCGTTCTCTTAATTTACTCTATCGCTGTATTTAACGATTCTGATCCTAGGTCGAACACCAAGGTCGACCACCCACACTACGGGATCATGACAAAGTGGGAACTTCTCGGGGACCATAGGTGAGTTGCCCATCCTCGAACATTCCAGTTTCTTTTTCCCTGCTCAGTGCTGCATTGCATCGCACAGACATTACGAAGGCTTCAGTGAAGTGGCCCGAACGGGGCTGGGACTCTCGGCGAGCCTGTATTTAGGTTCTTGAACACTCGGTCTCTCTTCTTGGAATCGACTGTCGCATCTGCTTCTTGTTTTCTTGGTGATTCTTATCGAACAGTAATCCTCGTCAGCAATGCTTCTACTAGCCTACTTCTTTTTACGCGTCGCATCTTGTACTCGCCCCCAGGTCTATACACTCTGCGTCGAAGCGAGCTTGACTTTCGGTGCGCAATGACTTACAGTATGTGGAAGCGTTGTGTGAAAGAATCCCTTGCTGGGATAGACTGAGCACCGTCAAAGCTGTTCAATTTCGAGTTGATATGCCGAATTCTTAGGTCTGGGTTTTCTTTTTTGGGGGGTAGGCGGTCACCGTAGACGAAATAAAGTTGAAAGATGCATGGTTGGGACTCGGGGAATTCAATTTCCAAATTCCCTTCAAGTCGGCAAAAGCCGAAACTTGGTTGCAAGTTCAACGTGTTTTGCGGAGAACGAGCCGCCTGCGCAAGGTCGCCTCGGTAGAAAACAGGCCATGGCACTGGCGATTACTCTGTTCCAATCGGAATCGGTCGGAGCAATTTACGTGGATTTACGTCCGCCTGTCACGACCTCGGGACTCGGGAATCCTGCTTGACTCCAGCGACCACCGGAAAAATGGTGAGCGACGCGAATACGATCCTAGAGATATCGCTCATCCTACGGCAGGGTCTGAACGACTTCTCTCCCGAGGTCCTGACGCGGATATTCCTTCATCTCCCGTACAGTTCCTTGCTTTCGGTTTCCGCTGTATCCGTCCAATGGAAAGCCATCGTCGCAAAAGATCCGTCTCTCAGCGTGCAGATTTTCAAGAAACGCACCAAGGTGTACGTTGAACCAGGTGCGGAGAGCCGGTGACTATATCCTCCGAGTAATGCTGATCATGATATAAACAGGCTGCGCCGAGACGAAAAAAAGCGGCTGGGGGAGTTACGAAGACTCCGTTGATAACGACACTCAGTACATGCTTTTCAAGCTCACCATGCCGCAGGAAGACGCGCATAGGATAGAATCGGCTTGGTTGCAGTCGGGCAGGAAAGTCGTGGCCGCTACAGCGTTGTTGGCAAATCCCAAGTGGAAACCGCGTCCCGCACCTGAAAAAATTAGGGCAAGCTTCATGAATCTCCTGTTCCCGTAGGCCATCTGACACGCCACGGCAGCTCCATCCTGCGATAGAAAAGGCGTCATACATCATGGGCCGCGGACTCGACAGCGTTGAATTCTACCTCAAGGACGGCACCTCCAAACTCGTCGATCTTGCGATCGCCAACGATTTTATCTCCATTCCGGTGGTTACGACGGCCTTAATTCGCATAAATGGCGCCAATTTTACAGTCAAC